TGCAGGGAATTACACTTAATAGCTCTTCAGTTTTAAGCACGACTATAATAAAATCGCACTCTACTTTAAATCCCTTCTCTTATTTCTTCCCCTCTTTTGACACCAAGGGGTAGCAATCGTACACTTATCATTGCATTCAACTGTATCTTACCAAATTTTTACGTTTAACTTGGAATACCACACTCCCTTTGGGGGGAAGCATTGGAGCAGCTCCGTTAAAACCCAGCCCTACACTGCCCACGAATTACAGCCCTCCGCCAACTCAGGGCCTGGGTTTTGGCTTTTTCCACCCTGAGAGACAGAACACTTGGCATTGTCACAGAGCTCTTGCATGTCACACGATGGCCACTGCACAGGCAAGACCACCTCAAAGGTTACTGAGCTGCGGCACACACGTCACACAGTAAACCAAGAATAAGAGCCGAGCCCCTTCACCTCTGTTCACCGTGCTGTTACTGCAGATAGCAGCTCCTCTCGGCGTGGGGAGGACCCTGGGGCGATGGCTGTGGGCGGCTCCCCGCGCGGCGGAGGCAGCGCTGAGGGCTCCGCTCAGGGCTCCCCTCAGGGCTGAGCGCGCGGGCCGCCCTCGCGGGCCGCCTCGCGGCGCCGTCGCGGGCGCCTCGCGGGCCGCCTCCGCGGGCCGCCTCGCGCGGGCCGCCTCCGCGGGCCCCTCCGGGCCGCCTCGCGAGGCCGCCTCCGGGGCCCAGTCCTCGCGGAGGCCGCCAAGGCGGCACGTGCACAGAGGCTCACGCGCACGAGGCGCCCCGCGCCGCCCGGTAGCCCCGAACCTGCGGGTGTGCCCGCACACCTTCACCCACAGAGCTGGAACCTGCCTGAGGCCCCGCTGGCGCCCCCGGTCATCCCCGGCAGCACTCGTGCGCAGAGCCCGCGTTCCGCTTCCCCCTCCCCACCGGCGGCGTGAAACAAATGGCCCGTCCAGCCGGGATTCCGGGAAGGCTGAGTCCATTCCAGGCACGAACTGGGTTTGCAAATCACGAAACACAGCCGGTTTCGTACCATTTCCCCTCTAATCGTTTGAGAAAACTGACCCCCCAGAGCCAGATGTCTGTTCCCGGTGCCCATGAAGCGCCCACCCTCACACGAGAGATTATATGGCTGTATATGAAGCATTCGCTTGGTTCACTCGTTGATTTCTTTATTTCTGCTGAAGGGTTTAACCCGATTAGGGAGCAGAAGGTGCGGAAGGGCCGTCCGCAGGTGGGCCGAGCAGAAGGGGCTGGGCGCAGTGCCTCCCGCAGGACAGCCCCGAGCGGAGCCGCTCGGCGCCCGGCAGCGCATCCCGCACCCCGCATCTCGGATGGCTGCGAGCGCCCTACGCACGGAGATCACCGCGCCTTACAGCGTGCTGCACCACCTGTATAAATTTTGAATTTACATATATAAAGACGAATATGTATTTTCTTGTAACCAGGTCACAGTTATTTATGAGCGCTAATACTAATTTTTTCTCTTGCCTTCATTACATCCAATCAAAGCGCCCTGTAGCTAGGTACTCAAAAGGGTATGAGTTTATCATCCCATTTCAGAGGCAAACGAGAAAGACTGTTTCTCGAAAAGTCACAGTGAGTCAACGAAGACGCATACACGAAATTAGACCGAGTTGTTCTAATCTGGTTATTTCTACTGATTCGAGCATTGATTTTTGAAGCCGAAGGCGTGAATGATTTTCAGAGTAATCAACCGAAGGCGCAGCAAGGAGACCGCGGTACACAGCTGCCGTAAGTAAAACTGCTGTGCCCAGCACCAGGAACTTTCCGGCAATAATGAAGGTGTTAAGGGCGATGTGTCAGTCGTGTTCTTCAGCTTCCTTTTGTGTCACACTAAACCACCAGCAAAAGGTTGGACAGTCTTTCCCGTGGTGGTGTTTGCTTGCTTAGTAAGACTTTGGGAAGTCAGGTTAATCCTATGTTCCACAGGGGCTCACTGACATCAAATGACTAATGTTTCTGTGAATGCTTCGGGGGTGGTGGCGAAAAAAACATCTGCTCGCAAAGCCAGCATGCTCCAGGGCGTGAGGGAGGCTGAAGCTTCTGTCATGTCCGACTTCAGTCTCAGTCGTTTCTGAACGGAAAATGGTGTTAAACCTCGACTGGCTCACTGCAGAGCCGCATTTTGAGGGGCCCTACAGCCATCGAAACGACGCTGGTGACCCGAGATGTCAAATAGCGAAGCCCAGAACCACCTCAGAAAGATACCGGAGACCCGAGCTGGATTTCCTGGCTGCGTTAGGAATCCGAGGCTAGACCTGGAAAACTATGTTTTGAGGTCGTGTGTGAGTGTGTAAAGCAAGGCAAGCCTTTTTCTCTTTGCCGCCGGTGCCTGCCCCACGGATCCTCCCCGAGTCAGTGCACCTAAGCACGGGCACGCAGGGGAGGACGGCAATCGCTTCCCTCCTGCGTGTTTGAATCGCTGTCAAGCA